GTGAAGCTCCGGAAGGGCCCTTCTGATCTTCTGTTGCAGGCCCCACGCTCCCCATTAGGCAAACTCTCTGTTTGCAGTTCCTGCCTGCTTGGGCTGGGGCAACTTTCGGCCTGTTCTCAGTTATCACGGGCAGCAATAGATAATGCACGTAAGTGACAAACCCAAAGTTAATTTAAAAATCTAATTTTAGCCACCCCCTCCCACTCAGTCACTTGTCAGTACTACTTAGGCAGCCAAATGCACTGATCTTACGTTGCTGCCTCTGGTAAATCGCAAATGAACCAAGTGAAGACCGAAAGGCGGCAGCAGGAGGGAGAGAGCAAAGCGTGTGGATAATCTGCACGACTTTCACTCAGACTTTCACACAGTTTGAAAATTAACTGTGTGAGAACTCAGTCTTCCACACTGTCTGACCCTCACACCTGGGCTAAAACCTTCTTACTTTGGGCAAATTACTTTTCGTTCTTATGTAAAATCAGGAATGAAAGCACCCTTTACTCCCTTTACTTATTGTATTAGTAAAAATGCAGTGCAGAGATGCTTGCATAATAAAGGACTGATCATTATACTTGGACTCACACTCAGGCGGTCCTTCTCAGCTCCCCAGTCTTCCTTCTAGAGATATGACGCTTGTCATCACTAGCCAACCAGAGGGCAGGTATTTCCAATAAAGATAAACATTCTGCAGCCCCCCAGCCCCCGGTGGTGACAGTTACTTTAAATGTTTTACATATTCCATGCCCCAAGTACCTCTCCATCTCCCCTTCAAAGTTAGTGACAAACATTCATTCCTGTGTGCATGGGTGTGCATGAGTGTGTGCACACATCCACATGTACCCTCCATGCACACACACACATACACATATACAGGGTCTCCCAAAATACATGTAACCAGTTCAGTGGAGGCTGGCGATGCATCAGAGCCTGTGTGAAGATGGAAATGACTATTTTTTTCCCAACCTTTCAGGGTGGTATGGTTCTCTGCCCAAGAAATAGGCTTCCTTCTTGATAAACGACTGCTGTCGTAAGATCTCCATCTTGTGGAGCAATCTCAACCACAGATGTCTTGCTAGTTCTTGGAACTCCAGATGACAAAGCTTAAATGAGAACATAATGATTTAAGATAGGAAGCGGGGCCGAATTTCAGAAGCAGTAACTAATTGGGGGTTTTAATACAAGGAGCAAGTTTTGTTTTTCACCTCAGAGAAGGGAGAATGGGTGACTACTGAATGAGTTCTGCAGATTAGGATTTCTAATCCAAGTTCTTGAGGCTTTCATCGGAATGCCTTTATGAACAGAGGCCTGCCTTGACCTTCACTCTGGCTGTGACTGCCTTCCCATCTGCTTTTAGATGAAGACAGTCAGGTACACCTTTTTCCTAATTCTATCTTGAAGACAAGGTGAAGACATGCAGACAAATAGCCATGCAAATATTGCCTTACTTTTTTTTTTTTATCCTCACCCGCGGACATTTTTTCATTTTTTGTTCAGATAGAGTGGGAGGGAGGGGGGGAGAGAGAGAGAGAGAGAGAGAAACATCGATGTGAAAGGGACACATCGAGTGGTTGCCACCCACACGACCCAACCAGGGCCGGGGACAAACTGCAACCGAGGTACGTGCCCTTAGCGGGAACCGAACCCGGGTCTCTCTGGACTGCAGGCCGATGCTCTAATCGCTGAGCCAAACCGGTCAGGGCCATTTTTCCATTTTTTGTTCAGATAGAGTGGGAGGGAGAGAGAGAGAGAAGCATCCATGTGAAAGGGACATATCGAGTGGCTGCCACATGCACGACTCAACCAGGGCCGGGGACAAACTGCAACCGAGGTACGTGCCCTTGGCGGGAACTGAACCTGGGCCTCAGACCGCAGGCCAACACTCCAACTGTTAAGCCAAACCGGCCAGGGCTGCCTTACATTTCTGATGGATCTATAGGCTCCCCCTACCAGCCCCAGGCAGATGACGGAGGTGGAACTTCCCAGGCAAGTCCTTAGCTCTGTGCCAGGGGTCCTTTCCCTGCTTATCACAAAGGCTCCCCGGAATGTCCAGGACTGCTTGGTCCAGGCAGTACATCCAATGCAATGATCTTTCCGCCAGACTAATGTTAACAACAATGCATGTCAAGTACTAGGGTGGGTCGGTGGGTTGGGAATCAGGACCCGACAGCCTCTCTCCTGGCTGATCCTGGGCCAGCTCTAATGACAGTAAGTCTAGTGCAGTCTTTGAGCCACCAGCATGTTGTCTCAGCTCCTTGTTAAAGAAGCAGACAGCAGGCCCTGTTCCACCCCAGACCAACTGAATAAACAGTTCTGGTGTTGAAGGCCTGGGACTCTGCATTTAAAATGTTTTTATTGATTTTTTTTTTGAAAGAGAGAGAGTAAGGGAGAGAGAGATAGAAACATCAATATGAGAGAAAACATTAATCGGCCACCTCCTCCGCAACCCCCACTGGGGATCGAGCCTGCAACCTGGGCATGTGCCCTGACCAGGAATCATACCGGGACATCTCAGTCCATGGGACAACGCTCAATCTACTGAGCCACACCAACTGGGCTGGGCTCTGCATTTTTATATCATCCTAAGGTTTGGGACCTGCTCAAGATTTGGAGGTCCTTATCTAGAAACTCAGGAGCTGGAATCTGACTGACATGTTCTCTTCCTGCTCTAACATTCCATGGTTTGGAGCAGAAGCTGGCTTTTTGGTTTTTTTTTAATCCTTATCAGAGGACATTTTTGCATTTACCTTCAGATAGAGCGGGAGGGAGAGAGGGAGAGAAACATTGATGTGAAAGAGACACATCAGACTGGTTGCCACCCACACGATCTCAACCGGGGCCAGGGACAAACTGCAACCGAGGTACGTGCCGTTAGTGGGAACCGAACCCAGGACTCTCTGGTCCGCGGGCTGACACTCTAACAGCTGAGCCAAACTGGCCAGGGCAGAAGCTCATTTTTTTTTTTTCAGGTTGGTCTCCATATTCTCCAGCCACATTCCTATGGCATTACTGGTCACTTCACAGACAATTGCCAATTCACTGGGATTTTTTTGTTTTTTTAATTCTCATCCGAGGGTATTTTTACATTTATCTTCAGATAGAGTGGGAGGGAGAGAGAGAGAAACATCGATAGGAGACAGACACATCGATTGATTGCCTCCCGAATGATTCCAACCAGGGTCGGGGATGAACAGCAATTGAGGTATGTGCCCTTGGCCGGAATCAAAACCGGGACTCTTTGGTCTGCAGGCTGACACTCTAACCGCTGAGCCAAACCGGCCAGGGCCCAATTCATTGGGATTTAACAAGCATGTGACAATAACTATAACTTCATCCCAACCTATTTCGAAAATTAAGTATTTCCTAACCCTGGTTGTCAGGAGATGCAACAATCACATTGGTATTTGAACATAAGACTTGCTCCTCACGTCAGAAAGAAACATTCAAAATTCACTCCATCCCTGCCCTGGCAGGTTTTGCTCAGTGGTTAGATCATCAAAACTAAAGGATCATGGGTTCAATTACCTGGATTGCAGGTTTGATCCACAGCCAGGGTCAGGCACATGTGGGAGGCAACCTCCCCCACCCCCCTTCCACCCTCTTTAAAAATCAATGGAAAAAATATCCTCTGGTGAGGATTAACAAAAAATAAAAATAAAAATTTACTCCATCCCTTTGTCATAGGAAGACCTCAACATATAGTAGGGATGACCCAAACATAGAAGTCACTTGTTAGGAGTGTGGACAAGCCACTCTCAACTAATTACCTGATACAAAGTAACTCCGTGCCCTCCACGTGATGTGGTCAAGGACTATAATGCCAGTCAGTGTTTCAAACCCCTATCATCACTGTTGGTCTGTGTGGCCAGTTAGTTTATTTGGTGAAATACCAGCTTAGGAAGTCAAGGACATGGTGTGTAGGCCAGCTGACCTCAATCACTCTCTTCCATGGACTACTCATCTTGAAAATGTTGACCAAAGGAGTCTGAGTAACAGTGGGAAGAACAGTTACTGGGAAATAATCTTGGATCTGATGGTCTCCGATGTCAAGTCAGAAGGTTCCTTTTTTTTTTTTTTTTTTTTGAGAGAGAGGGAGAGAAATCAATGTGGGAGAGAAACACCAGTTGGTTGCCTCCCATGTGCACCCTGACCGGGGACCAAACCCACAACCTGGGCATGTACCCTGACGGGGAATTGAACTGGAGACCTTTAGGTGCACAGGCCAACGCTCAAACAACTGAGCCACACCGGCCAGAGCAAGTTTCCTCTTTAGATACTAAAGATACAAAAATAGTATATATAGGCATGGTCACCCTCAGGCAGAATATTTTTTAGATTGTTTTGCAGTATTATTCGTTCATTATAACGCAAGTTAATCCTATAATTCCATTATTTTCCCAGAAATAAACTTTTCTAGAATAAAACTGGCGTCTTGATGTGGTTGCTGGATCACCTGAAGGCTGGTCACTCCAGTGACCAGGATCAACGTCTCCCAGAAACTCCTTCCTCCTTTTTCTAGGATATAACAACTCCCTTCCTGGGCCCCCGAGCTCTGCCTCACTCTCTCCTGGCCCCAGTACTGGAGTCCAACCTGGCGTTGGCGATCGCGAGAATCCTGCAGAGCATCCCCATCGCCTGTGCTTTCCAAGGACCCAGCCATCAAACCAGGGGTAAACGCAGAAATGGAGGACAAAGGGAAAGAGAAGGCAAATGTGAGGTTTAAACTTAGATCTCTGAGTTCTTTGGTTCATAATTGTAATATGAATAGCTACCATTTATTGAGTATATAACTCTGCATTAGCCCTTGGAGACAGCACGTACATGCATTACCTTATTTCATTCTCATAACATTCTCCTGTCCCTGTTCCTGATCACCAAACTAGAGCTCGGACAGGTCTCGGTTTCCTTACCCTCTTCCATATGTGTGCCATGTAGCAGGGCTCTAAGGATTAGGTCAAGAATAAAAGGAGACTCGTGAAAGATAATCGTGTGTCCAAATAAGGAAAGGGAGAGAAACTTCAATGAAGGGTGTTTAATGTCAGATCAACTGTGCAACTGGGGCAGAGATGAAGAGACCGTGCCAGGCCAGCCGAGCCTGACCTAGCTACACATCCTGTCGTTCATGAGGCCTCCGCTGACGGAGGAAGTGACAGCAGCAGCATCACAAGGTTCCTCTCCCTGGGGGGGGGGAAGCACAGTGCAACGTTCACTCAGTCCAGTTACGCGCCCAGCTTTCCGCAGCTCAGGCCCCAACATTCAGTCCGTGTCCATGTCGTCCCTAGCATGTCAGGCCAAAGGGCCCCCTTTCCTCCTGGCGCAGGGACCTTGCGGCAGGAGCTAGTGAACTGTGGAGGAAGAGTAATTCTCACTGGAAAGATGGGCCCGGGGACGTGCGCGTCCCTCTGTAATCATGGGTCAGAGATGACATCAGACCACTCCGCATTTCTGCAACCACTCACACAAATGAAAAGGTAGGAAGGCACCGGCCCCCTCGCAGAACCCAGCATTCTGAGCGAGACCCTGAAGACTGCAGGGTTCAGCGGAGTTCCCGCCTCCTTCCACGGGGTCTCTTGGCCCAAAGGCTGGGACGACAGGGCAGTCATGGACCCAGCACAAAGTCCAGACTTCCAGACAAAATCATCTTCTCCATCTGACCACCTCTCTCCTCAAGGCCATGGTGGACAGACAGCGAATATTCCCAAGTCCCTACGTCCTGAGAGTCCCCACTGGAGGAGGGGAAACACCTTTCTCCCACCCCCTGGGAGTGGAGAACCAGCCAAGTCCAATCCTCAAAGATCTCTAGCGTCTCTTAAATAAGCTTTTCCTTTCCACGTTCGTCTTTTAATTATTTATCATCCATCCGTTCATTTATACAAATATAAAATATATTTATATAGATTTATAAAATATAATCTTCTGTGAGGCAGAGTGGAGAGGCGGCCGGGGAGCGGCCCGCTACTTGCAGACGTGCTGGTCCACGACCTCGGTGCACTTCCTGCACTTGACGTAGCAGCACCAGTGGAACTTGCAGTGGCAGCGCTCCACCTGGACGCTCTTGAACTGGTCGTAGCCGCGGCCGCAGCACATGAGCTCGCAGCCGTCCATGCCCTCGGACGTCTTGTTGCACAGGCGGCCCTGCGTGCCCAGGGAGCCCGTGGTCTCGTTGCGCACGCAGTAGTCGGGGCTGGGGTCCACGTACACCAGGTCCTCGGGGGTGGGCTGGTTGAAGCGGCTGTTGACCAGCTCCAGCTTGCCTTTGCGGGTGATGCGCATGGCGGCCGCGCTGTCGTACTTCTCCTTCAGCTGGTCCCCCACCTTGCGGAACTCAGCCAGCTGGAGCCAGCAGGTCTTGAGGCTGCAGGACCCAGAGACGCCGTGGCACTTGCAGGCTACATCTGCCATCTTATACACAGCCTGGGGGGGGAGAAAGAAGGACATAAGGAGAGTCCCTGAGAGAAGATGCCAAGCAGGCGGCTCGAGTGGCCACAGGCCCAGCATAGAAGGGGCTGATGGGGAAGGTGGCAGGGCTTTTCAGTTGTAGGCACAGACCTTTCCAGGAGCCTCGGTGGCTCGGATGGACATCAAACAGAGGAGCACCAGGAAGAAACATGCTGGCGAGGCTCACAGCAGCCTGACCCTCCATGAGGGTGGCACAAAGCACTGGCATTTCACACTTTATCTATTTCTTTTTTTTTATCCTCGCCCAAGGACAATTTTTAGTTTTTTGTTCAGATAGAGTGGGAGAGAAAGAGAGGATGAGAGAGAGAAACATCAATGCGAAAGGGACACATCGAGTGGCTGCCTCCTGCATGACCCAACCAGGGCCGGGGACAAACTGCAACCGAGGTACGTGCCCTTAGCGGGAACCGAACCCGGGTCTCTCTGGACCGCAGGCCGACCCTCTAACCGCTGAGCCAAACCGGCCAGGGCTATCCATTTCTTAATACTTGAAATTTGTCATATTAATGTGTCAGGAAAAAGAAACAGATATTTCTATCTTATCTCAAACAAACAAATAAAAACCAGTAAAAGGTGCTCAGCTTTCGTACGATGTGGAGCACAAGTCAAAACAGAATCCAGTCGAATTACAAGCCTGTAGCAGGAACTGCTGGCAGGCCCCGGTCAGCCACAGCCTCCAGAACCTGCCACACCTCCTGAGAAGTCAATGGTCATTAACTCCATAGAGTCACTGGGGGTCTCACCACAGACCACATCATATTAGATGCCCCTGGGAGAGGCGGTGACAGTGGGGGGAAAGGGGCGAGGTCCGTGCAATGGAAGAGCAGGTCAGTGGGTCCACTTACAGGGGTGATTGATTTGGGTTGGAAATCAAATCTACCCCAGAAGTCATTGAACCACAACAATATGGACTGGATTTGAACTTGGGTTATCCCAAAACAAAATGTGGTAGCAAGAATAGACCAGAAAGCGGCTTATGAAGTGCTTTCCGATGAAAGCACGCTGATGCACTATGTCAAAGCACCCTGGCAGCAGGCCCGGGTGGCAAATGGCAGGGTAAGAGCCCGAGCCCGCTGCAGAACACTTTCCTAGGCCACAACTACTGACACCGACTGAGGAGGGACTCATTTTTCAAGAGTTTTTTTCAGATTTCTTTTCAAGAGGCCCCAGATTGTATCTTTATTCAGTACTATCCAGAGACCACTGCAGGTACAAGAACTAGCTTACCCATCATCATACTACTGTCGTCCAAACTCTTCCTGATCTTTTTTTTTTTTTCTTTCTGGTATGTAATTATTCCCACTATTTTGTGATAGGAAAATAGAAATTCTAGAGAGCCCCAGTAACCTGCTCAGGGCCGCCCAGAAGGGACTCAGAATGTCTAGCATTTCTGTATTCCAGTCTTGGGGCTTAAAAACAGCTTCGGGTAAAGACGGAAGGCAGGCTCCTCCCCAAGGTGAAAGGCACCCGCACCTGGCTAGCAGCTCCAGGCCCCAGGCATAAAGGAACCGATACCCCATTCCGACAGGCACTTCAAAGACAGGGCCTGCAATTATCCTTCTGGCACAAATCCCTAGGTCTGAGCTGGAGCCTGACATTCCTCTGGAAATGGTCCTCAGCCGGGGATGTCAGGCATCTGGCACTGTTGGAAGGAGAAAGCATTAAGGGCCTAAAACTATGTACCTTGCTGCTAAGTGACTAAGGAAACAGGATAAGCATCTCCACTGGGAGCAAACACTTAGGGAGATTTGGGGGAAAAGAGTCAAAGCAAGACCTCAAAGAGTAAGGACAGGAACTTTAGTAAAACAAATTCAAGAGGAACAATGTATTTGATCCTCACTATTTAGACATTCATTCCATCCTTCCTCTAAGAGAAACACACTGTAGAGGCAAAGCATTTGTATTTTAAAATAGTTTACGATCGATAATGTGTAAGTTCCTCTCACAGGAGAAAGGGGGGGAAATCCCAATTTTTGGCTCTCCTCCTAACTGCAAAAGCAATGAAATGTTTTTAAAAACGTTTTTAGTTTGGACCTGGGAAGACGGCTGCTGGAGCTGCAGCTGGTCGGGCTTCCTCCTACACATTAATTAAAGGGAGAGTTCTGTCCCCAACCAGGACATCTGAGGAGTTCTCTCATTATGTAACCAAGGGACTTTCCTGGGTCCATCAGCAAAGCAAGTAGAGCTCAGTGGACTATTCTCAACATTGCAAAAAGGCCAAAGAAATCTCACATCTACCCATGAGAGTGTGGGGAGGACTCTGCTTTGGGCCTTTCTGGAGCATCTGTCGACTTGGTGTGCTCACGCCCATCAGCTCACGTGGATCAGGAAGTCTGACCAACACCTGCTTATGGTTTGATTAATTTAAAAATAAGAAAACCAAGCTGGATCATTCAGAACCACCTGAAATCAAGCTGAATGGAAGTCCTACAACTACGAAATTAAAAAAGAAGCCATGTGGAGACTGGTAGGAGGTGCGGAGGTGGACAGGCTGGTCCCACACCCACGTGTGGCAGATAAAAATCAGGAGGACACCTGGGCTGGGAAGGTCCTCCCTGAGGACTGAGGGCTCCCCTTTCCACACCAGACACCCAGCCCAGGGTTCCAGTGACAGGAAGAGAATCCCCATAACTTCTGGGTGGAAAAACCAGCGGGAACTGAGGCTGAGGGAGGCTGAGGCTGCTGGAGCCCCAGACAGTTCCTCTTAAAGGGCCCGCACACGGACTTACTCAGACTTACTCCCTCTGGGCTCCAGCACTGGGGAGGCAGCTTGAAAGGCACAAGAGACATACAGTGAAGAACTGAGTTGTTTGGCATCAGGGCAAGAGCTGGAGAGGCAGCTTTCTACCAGACAGAGGTGCTGGTAGAGGCCCTTGCTGCTTTGGTGAGCCCTTCCCCCACGAGGCTGGCAGACAGGGCGCCATATCTGGGACTCCAGCAACCTGGCTCACACTGGTTGCCCCACCCTGGTGATTCCCTGAGGCTCTGCCCCACCCAACTTTCGGGCCCACCCAAGCTGTTGCCAGTGGTTTTAACATAGGATTTCCTGTCTTGGATCCTGCTTCGGAGTCTCCTAAATTCTCTCAAACAAGCAGCATCTGGTCTCAGCGAGCCCTATACCTCTCACTAAGTGGCTTCAGGCCTGGCATTAGAAGCAGCCAGCCTTGGCTCACAACTTGGCTTTGCCTGGGCACCTCCAAACCCAGCACAAGAAGTAGCCATCTGTAGATAGCTTTGCAGCTTATGCCTGGTGCCCCAGGGTAGAACACTGCCCCGGGGCAGTGGCTGACCTGGCCCCAGAGCCAGCACACCCAGTGGAGAGCTTCAGACCACATCAAAGCACTACCACCCAACCACCTCAAGTGACATACTCAAGGAGTGAACTCAGTGGGTTCCAGAGCCCTGCTGAAGTAAGTCTTGCTTTGTGTGTGGGGTCCCTGAACAGCTGATCCTCCAAGGTAGGCAGCGGTCAATAGTGGGCACACCCAATCCTTGTAGCTGATCAGCCTGAGGAAATCTCTCCCATTAACGTGCCAACAGCAATCAAAACTCAATTACAGCAGAAAAGTGGACAGTTCACATGAGGGGTGCACCTTGTGGGCCCAGCTGGGGTGGAGAGGGAGGCTGTGCCACTGGACCCTACAGGACACCTACTATAATAGGCCATCCTGGAAACCTAGGAGACATAACAACTGTACCTAATACATAGAATCAAACATAGAGAGACAGCCAAAATGAGGAGACAAAGAAACATGTCCCAGATGAAAGAACAAAAAACAACTCCAGGAAAAGAACTAAACAAAATGGAGATAAGCAAGCTAACAGATGCAGAGTTCAAAACACTAGTTATAAGGATGCTCAATGACCTTCGTGAGAATTTCAAGGTACTTTGTGAGAACTTCAAGGAACTTAGTGAGGATCTCAAGAGCATAAAAAAGGAACAGTCAGAGATGAAGGATGCACTAACTGAAATTAAAAAAAAAAATTATAGGGAAGCAATAGTAGAGTACACGAAGCCAAGAAGCAAATCATAAATTTGAAATATAAGGAAGCAAAACACACCCACTTGGAACAGCAAAAGAAAAAAGAATCCAAAAAAATGAGGATAGTGTAAGAAGCCTCTGGGACAACTTCAAGCATACCAATATTCGCATCATGGGGGTGCCAGAAGGAGAAGAGAGAGAGCAAGAAATTAAAAACCCATTTGGGAAAATAATGACAGAAAACTTCCCTAACTTGGTGAAGGAAATAGACACACAAGTCCAGGAAGCACAGAGTCCCAAACAAGATGAACCCAAAGAGGCCCACACCAAGACACATCATTATTTAAATGGCAAATGTTAAAGACAAACAGAGAATCTTCAAAGCAGCAAGAGAAAGAGAGTTACCTACAAGGTAGATCCCATAAGACTGTCAGCCGATTTCTCAACAGAAACGTTTCAGGCCAAAAGGGATGGGCATCAAATAGTCAAAGTAATAAAAAGCAAGGACTTACAAGGACCTACAACCAAGACTACTTTACCCAGCAAGGGTATCATTTAAAATTGAAGGAGAAATAAAGAGCTTCTCAGACAAGAAAAAGCTAAAAGAGTTCATTAACAACCAAACCAGTATTACAAGAAATGTTATAGGGTCTTCTTTAAGAGGAAGAAAAAGAAACACACACACACACACACACACACACACACACACACACAGAAACATAGTTTAAAAAAATAAAATGGCAATAACTACGTACCTATCAATAATCATTTTAAATGTAAATGCTCCTATCAAAAGATATATGGTAGCTGAATGGATATGAAAACAAGACCCATATGTATGCTATCTACCAGAGACTTACATTAGAGTGAAAGATACACACAGACTAAAACTAAAGAGAGAAAAAGATATTTAATGCAAAAAAAAAGGGAAAAAAAGCTGGGGTAGCAACACTTATATTGCACAAAAAAGAC